CACACACACACACACACACACACACACACACACACACACACCAACCACACACACACACACACACACACACACACACACACACACACACACGCACACACACCTGAAACGTGTCAATGTCGATGGGACCATAGCGCCAGACGGGGCAGTATTGTTGGGTGTTGGTCTTGACAGTGCTTGGCTGAAGCTGGGCAATGAACTTTTGCTCTGGAAAGTTGCAGAACCAGCCCTGGGGCGCCTCATCCACGGCCGTGTCACCGCGGTTGAGGGAGGCCAGGGACGCAGCGTCGATGGTCTGGCACTGCGTGAGGGCACTGCACACAAGGAGGTCGCCCGTCACCTCATGCCTCTGCATCACAAAGTACTGGTTGCCGTTGCAGGTGGATGAAAAGAACCGCAGCCTGCACGGGTCGCTGGAGCCGTCGCACTCCTGCAGGCAAGTCTGCCCGGACGACGATGCGGTGCAAAACTCCGGGTCGTCGTACCCTGCGCCGTCGTACATGGAAAACGCGACGGCATCGTAGGGAATGCAGTTGTCTGGGTCGGTGATGTTGCGAGCAGTCACCACGCCCAGCGTCGTGCCGTTCACGCGCATGAGCGCGTCCCTGTCGCCAACAAAGAGCGATCCCGTGTCTGCATCAAGGTACATCATCGACCCCCGCGTCAACGCCAGCGAACGCGGTTGTCCCGCTGCCACCGCTGGCGCCGTGTTCACTGCACCAAGCGCCAGCACAACAGCAACCAACAGCATGCCCCTGAGCCTGATGCTGCTGCTGCTGCTGCGGATGCCGCCTTGTGCTGCTGCTGCGCCGCTGGTGGCCATGGCCATGATGATGACGATGACTGTGGGAGGTGGGTGGTGGGCAGAAGGGGCGGTCGTGTTTGTGGGTGGTGCTGGGTGTTGTTCCCCCGCCGCCCAACTTTCAAAATAAAAGCAAGAAGAAGTGGCGAATTTCAACTTGTGATGTCGTGTGCAGATGTGGACAGCCCAGCCCACCAGCCAGCAGAGCACATGTCAATGTCACGTGTCATGTCACATCGTCTCATGCCTCCATCACTCACACACACATACTGTTGCTTGTTCTGTACTCGTTGTTGGACTGAGAGAACACACACACAGACACACATTGACACACACACACACACAACACACACACACACACTACACACGCATACAGACAACATAGAGACAGTTGGTGTAACACAAGGCAGTCGAGGGCACACAAACAGTTGGAAAAGAAATCAAAGCACATACGCACACAATATGAAAATGTTACGAAGCAATGCCAAATGAATGACACAAGGGGGAGAGGAAAGGAGAGCGTCACGCAACCACAACCTGGCAAAGTCCCCCTCCCCACCACCTCACTCATCATACACACATACACATACACACATACACATACACGCATACACAGCCACGTGTCGCTAACACTGACCCAGCAATAAAATCACCCCACACCAATATCCATCATCGCAGACGACAGCCACAGTTCATCGTCGTCAATCCCCCCCCCCACCACACACACACACCCCGCAGCACCTTATTCGCTCATATCATCCAGATGCACCACGATAAACATATTCAGACAGGATACACATGGACGACGCGCAGAGAAAGCAAAACAAGACCAACGCTAGACTTGCGTCTTTCGCCTGTATGCGCGCTTGAGAGCAAACGATTGCCAGTCCATGAGGGATGTGCCAGAGTACATGCTGAACCGCTGGCGCATCTGCAGCGTTGTTGCTGGGCCGTGTGCTGGCGGAGGCTGCGGGTCAAAGAAGTCTGTGTAGCAGCACCAGCGCGTGAGCTTCTCCGACAAGGAGAGCGGCTGCACGGTAAACTGGTCCAGAAACTCCTTCTTCAGTGGTACGAGGTTGACACGCGCGCCCTGGCGGTCGAGCCGGCTTGGCTTGGAGCTGCCGCCACGCTTGCGGTTGCGCTTCTCTTGCTTCTGTGTCTGCTGTTTCTGCTGCTGCTGGTTAGGGTCTGGTTGGAGCGATGGCAGGGTGTGCTGCTGGCTCGCGTCGTTGTGTCGGTGTGCCATGTGCTTGGCTTGGTGCTGGTGTGGCAGCTGCATCTGTTCGGACGACACGTGCTGCTGCTGCTGTTGCTGTTGCTGGTGGTGGTGGTGCGAGGGGCTCTTGATGACGTCCATGACGGCGCGCTTGGTCAATGTGCCCTGCCCGTCCTGGGCCGCCTTCTTGGCTTTTCTCGCGTCGTGCGCGTGCTTCCCTTGCCTTCGTCTCAGGCGGAGGCTGCAGTGCAAGCATGGTTGGTTGGTTGGTTGGTTGGTTGGAGCAGAGTGAGGCGAGACAGACAGCCGTAAGTGGAGATGACGAATGGAGACGGTGGAATGAAGAGGATGAATAGAACTGGCAAACGACACCAAGTAAGCACATCAACAGCCACAGTGCAGAACAAACACCCTTACACCCACACCCACACACCCACACCCACACACACATACATACATACACCCACACACCCACACACCCATACTTACATACATACACCCACACCCACACACCCATACTTACATACATACACCCACACACCCACACCCACACCCACACACCCACACACCCACACACTCACTCACCGAGAGAAGAAGCGTGACACCATGGTCGTGCGATCAGACATGGTCTGGTACAGAGAGTGGTTTTGGTGCTGTTGGTGAAAGTTGTAGCTGTTGCTGTAGTATTCACGGTGCTGCTGGTGGTCGTGGTTGCTGTGAGCGTTTGTTTGCCGGTGTGCGTTGAACTGACGCTGCTCACTTGGAAATGAGGATGATGGCCGATGAGGGTTGATGTTCTGATGCGTGTTGTGGGGGCTGTGATGGTTGTGTTATGGAGGACAACAAACGCGGTTCGTGACGCCGGTTGGTTCGTGTGTGTGTGTGTGTGTGTGTGTTGACAGAAAATCAACACGGCGCAGTCACACTCCAAGGTCGTGGTGGTGCTGGTGCTGTTCTTCTTCTGCTGCGACACCGTCTTTGTCTCCACTGCGCCTCGAGGCGAGTCGGAGACGTTGCTGTGCGCGAGAGAAGTGTGTGTGTGTGTGTGTGTTTGTGCTTTTCTGGCGTGTGTCCTGTGGTCTGCCTGTTCGTTCAAGCCAGGTTCAAAAAGGCCGGTGCAAAGCGCGCTAACAATGGTTCGTGCGTGTGTGCGTGCGTGTGTTGGGGGTGGTTGGTACAAGGCCAGCGTGGTTGTGATGTGTTCGTGCGTGTTTTGGGTGTGCGTGTGTGCGTGTTGAATGGTAGTGGGCAATCGATGTGAGAAAATGAACACGAACAGCCAACAACAACAAGGTCGCACAAACCACCAAGCATATTCCCACGCCCTCCAGCAACCACGCCTCCACAAACACCGCTACCACCACCACCACCACCACCACCAACAACAACAACAACAACAACAACAACAACAACAACAACACTACCGCCAACAACAACAACAACAGAGTAGCCCAGATTTCATACAGGCTTGTTGCTGCAGCCAGAGGCATGCACTGTGCAGATAGATGGATGCAACACCACCACGCTCACCTGTTTGCGGCTGGGGACGGAAAGAGGAAAAGTGATTGGTGCGGTGTGGCAGGGAAAGGTAACAAGGGAAACAGAGAGAGAAAGCGAGAGAAAGGCACACAAGCACACAAACGCACACAGGGCTGTGCTTCAAGAGCAAACACACAAAAGACCACCACCACACACTGCTGCTGCCTCTTGGCGTTGTGTGCGAGATGTTTGTGTGACCTTGGTCTCATCACATCTCACATTGCACACTGTGCTGGCCCAGCAGCAACAGCAACAACAACGTGCCACGCGCCAAGCATAGCAGAAGCGCGTCGCGTCTCCACTGCCGCCACGCCGATGCCAAGCCCAAGCCGGGTGATTGGTCGTGTTCCCACACAACGCCCATCCATTGGCTTGCTGCGCGCCTTCGCTGCGCTCTTGGTGTCGTTCATTTGTGCTTGCGTGTTGCCATCATGCATGCCTCTTCCAAACAAACTGATTTCAGTTGTTTCTGGAAATTGACTGAAATCAGTCCATGCTGCGTCTCTGCTACTTTTATTCATGTTTGCTACAGGCCGTGTCCGGAGGAATGTGCCCTTCGCCACACCGCGCTCGTTTCACGCCCTTGAATGACGACAAGAGGATGGTTGGGGCGTGATGTGAACACACAACAACTCACAAGCGCCAAGATGAAGGCCCCACCACACACACACGCACACGACCATGCACTGCAGACCCCTCCCCAACACACCCACGAGCTCACTGGGTAATGGCGCGCGTGGTGTGAACAACAAACAAGGCACACATGAGCACTGTCGACGGCAAACAACAACGACAACAGCGACGACAACAACGACGAACAACAACACAGCCGCCACAGCACTCGCCTACTGTTCTGTGTCAGCAGCTACAAAACAACGCGGTGGTGCATGGTACCACCCGCCACAAGCGCATTCCAAAGCAGGTCAAGAAATAACCGTGGCTCTCAGGAGTGGCACTCTTTCGCTCTCCTCGATCGACGCCTGTGCTAGCCGTCATTGTTCCCCAACACGCGCACACACCGCACCTCGCGGCACCGGGCTCCCCGTAGACACCATCGACCACGACTACCCACCGTGACACACGGACAAGTACACACCTCAAAACAACAACTCCCTCAACCACCACGAGGCGACGCCACCCAATTCCACAGCGAACCAGTACCGCAGTTGTGTGTCAGGTTCGCGCCTCCCCGCCAAGGTACCAGCACCAGCAGCAGCGGTAGTATCTGCACTAGCAGCACCTGCAGCGCGCTCCCCCCAACCAATACAGCATCCTGTGTGTCTGGTTGTGAAAGGCGGTGGCACCTGACCAGCCATGTCCACACAACCCAGCACCTCGAACACAGGCAAGAACGTGGCCTCCAGTAACGGAACCCCCACCAGTAGTGCCGCCGCTGCCACCGCCGCCGACACCGATGCCTCTTCGTCCTCCAACCCGCAGCCATCAACGACCACATCAACCACAACAGCGACTGCGCCAATATCTACACGGCCACCACCACCCGCGCCAGTATCGACACAGCGACCACCTGCACCAGTAACTGCTTCCAGGCAGGCTGGCAGCAGCTTAGATGGCGTGCATCAAGCGGACAGTGGTGGTGGTAGTGGTGGTGGTGGTGGTGGCGGCGGCAACGGTGGTGACAGTGGTGGTGCTGGTAATGACAGAGGCGGCAGAGGCGATGTTGGTGGTGCAAATACCGCCCACAACGAGGCTCCACGACAAGCGAGCGTTGATAGGACAGAGCCATCTCAAGACCCACAACAACAACAACAACAACCACAACAACAACAACAACAACAACAACAACAACAACAACAACAACAACAACAACAACAACAACAACAACAACAACAACAACAACAACAACAACAACAACAACAACAACAACAACAACAACAACAACAACAACAACAACAACAACAACAACCACAACAACAACAACAACAACAACAACAACAACAACAACAACAACAACAACCACAACAACAACAACAACAACAACAACAACAACAACAACAACAACAGCAGCAGCAGCAGCAGCAGCCTCAGTATCCTGGTATCGTCACGTATGCGGCCCATCTGACCAAAGCACGTCAGTCAGCTGCATCTACAGCGCTACCGATGACGGCGTTCGGCTTTTCCGACCAGCAGCCGTTGCCATCGCCACTGCGGGCTCCGACGACAGACACATCAGCACCGCAGTTTAGCTGGCCAAGGCACCTGACCGAAGTCCACACGGTGACCACCCCACCGCAGGCCATCAGCCTGTCCAAGGTCCCGGGATATCAACACCAGCAGCTGCAACAACTCATACAGCTGCCACGACAACAGCAGCAGCGGCTACAACGACAACAACAACATCGACAACAACAGCAGCAACAACAACAGCAGCAGCAGCAACAGCAACAACTGCAGGAGGAGCACGTGGTGGGAGCAGATCCTCAGGCGCCGTCAGACTCTCTGTACCATGGACCAAGACCGCCACCCGTTTACACAGACGCGGTGAAAACAAGCCTGACACCCAAAGGACCGCTGTCGCAGCTGCCATCTGTCTTCTCCACTTCTCGCTCCTCCAACCAAGCACATATCACGTCCACGGCCTCTCAACAACAACAGCAGCAGCAACAACAACAACAACAACAACAGCTGCTGCTGCAGCAACAGCAACAACAACAACAACAACCCGCTGTTCACTCTGCCGCATGGAACAAGTCCAGCAGCAAGGCTTCAACACTGCAACAGGCAGCAAACCAACCGACGCCACACCGTGTCATGGCAAGCAGCACCAGCAGCAGCAGCAGCAGCATGACACCACCGCCACCGCCACCGCCACCGTCGCAATCACAGCCAGCGGCATCTTCGTCTGCAGTGCACACCGCAAGCGCTGCCTCTGTGCCTTACAGCTTTGCGAATACCCCTGCCACCAGCCACATGACACGCGTGGCAGCCGCGTTCGTCAACGCACCCACGCGCGTGTACCCCAACTTCAGCGCTATCAGCAACACGGTCACCAGGACACTCAACACCCTCAACACAGGCGCGCTCGCACCATCCGCACCTGGCGATGCAGTGATGGAGGAGGTGGAAGAGGAAGTGGACGAAGAAGAGGAGGAGGAAGAGACGGCCCTGCGGAACACAGCGACGACGGGGGACGACTCGGGCGACAGCAGCAACAACACCACACAGACGAGCAGCGATGGCACGCCCGGCCCACGGGGCACGGCCTCGCAGCAGCGGCGTACACGGCGCCGGCGCATTCAGCAGCCGCCCACCACCGCCAACGACACGCCCGTCGCACACAATCGCACCTTCAGCCCCGCCGTGGCAGCAGCACCAGCGCGCTCGCTCGGCACGCAGCTTGCCATTTTTGGTACGTCCACCCCCGAGCACAGCAGGGCGGCTGGCGGGATGGTGATGGCGGCTCCGTCCATGGGTTTGACTATGACACCGCTGGGCGCACACGACCGTGGCATGGGCGACGTGTACGTGACAGGAACACAGGGCCTGGGGGTGGTGATGGACGGTGGCAGTGATGTCGGAATGACCACCAGCGTCGCATCTGACAGCGGGCAGCCGCCAACAAAGCGGGCGCGCAGGACAGGGACACGTGCCAGTGCGGGCACCAGCAGCAGCAGCGCCAGCGCAACGAACCCTCTCCCGACATACAGCCACGACCTCTCCACCATGCAGTGGGTGGTGAGTGATGCATGGGGTAGTTGTGATGAACAGCGTGTGTGCGTGTGTGTGTGCGTGTGTGCGTGTGCGTGTGCGTGTGCGTGTGCGCGAGTCGCTGATTGTCCCCTTCAACAACGTGGCCGTGGATTGTTCAGTCTTCATCGCATGTGCCTCTCTGCGTCTCCCTTTTCCCACCCACCCTTAGCTCACCTCATCTCACACTGCCTCGACATGGCGTGATTGCAGTCAAACCCGCACCAGACGTGTGCTCTCGTCTTTGATGCCGACCTCAACCAAATGTACGCACGCTGTGCACGGCTTGCCGTGATTCCTACACTTAAGTGTGCGGTTCGCCCGCTGCTCTCGTAGTGCGCTTGTGGACGTGTTTGCACGTCCAGTGGCCACTCCCACTGCCTGCGTTGTCGTTTTCATTGTCATTGTCAGATCATCATCATCATCATCATCATCATCATCATCATCATCATCATCATCACCATCATCATGCCTGACCACCATCGCCACGTCTCACCATTTGTTGGCTCCCTTCCCCTGCACACTGCAGCCCCCCGCCATCACTGCACCTGCGTGAGGACAAGGGCTTCCGGTTCCACAGCCCCCGCATCTTCATCTGCCAGAAGAAGAACCACTTCCAGCTGACGCTGCGCATCACCACTGGCCCGCTTCCCTGCTTTGCCCAGAGCAAGCTCGGCACCCCCGTCGCCATCAGCAGATTCGAGATCCACCTCAACGGCATCAAGGTGTGCGTGTATGTAAGTGTGCGTATGTGTTGAGTGTGCGTATGTGCGCATGAATAAACGTGTGCTTGTGTGTGCATGTGTGTGCTCGCTCATTTGCACACTGAAGTTGTGTCAACTCCCTAAACGCCTTACAAACACCAGCTGTTATCTCACTTCACACGTCCTCTGCCCCGCTTGCTGCCTCACAACATACACAAATACCCATCAAACGTTATTGGTGTTCCAGGTTGAGAGTCCCGATATGCAGGTGCAGCTGCACCAGTCTGAGTCTGACCGCCGGCGCCACCCCTTCCGGCCACTTCGCGTGCACCTCGCAGAGGGAACGACGCAGCGCCTCTCGGTCAGTGCGGTCGAGCGAGTGGCCTGATGTTTGTGATGTTTGTGGTGTTTGTGGTGCGGTGGCGGTGCTGCTGCTGTTGTTGTGGCTGGACATTCCCATGCACACTCTGACCCATCTTGTCTTACTTACATCTGCACACACGTACGCATATGCACACGAATGCACATGCAAACACACAAACAACTTCTTTCCTCCATCTCCCGCTTCGTTTCTATGGTGCGCTGCAGATTGGGCGGCTGCACTTTAGCCAGCCGACGGCGAACAACATGCGGCGCCACGGCGGCCTCAACCCGGACCAGCGCTTCTTCGCCCTCGCCGTCAACCTCGTCGCCATCTGCGATGTACGCTCCCCCATGCATGCAGCTTTTGGTTTGTGTGTTTGTTTGTTTGTTTGTGCGTGTGTCTGTGTGTCTGTGTGTCTGTGTGTTTGTTTGTTTGTTTGTGCGTGTGTCTGTGTGTCTGTGTGTGTGTGCGTGTGCGTGTGCGCGTTTGTGTGTGTGTGCGTGTGCGTGTGCGCGTTGAGTGCACCAGTATACTTTGCATGGGTGCGCTGCACAAGGCACCACTTGTGCTTGGTGCACCATTGTACCCCTCGTGCCACACCACCCTCACCACCACAACCACGGTGTCGACCACCACCGCCACCAACCACTGCAGCACGACCCGGTGCCGATTTCGTCCATGCTGTCCGATCGCATTGTTGTCCGCGGGTCAAACCCGCGCCAGTTTGAGTCAGACCCGAAGGAGACGCAGCACCACAAGCCGTGGTACAAAGGCCAGACACGGCACAGCGCGTGCCACTTTGGCCCCGTCGGTATCAACATTCCCAACCCGGACGAGGCGCTCTGCGTTCTTGGAAACATCAGGTGCGATTGCGCTCGGAAAGGGGGGGGGGGGTTATTTGGATGGTGGTGTTGGCGTTGGTTGGTAGCTCGCGTTGTGCTGGGTGTTGTTTGGTGCATTTGCCATGCCTTGTGTTATTCGCCATCACTGCAGCTTGTGTCCTGTCTGTTGAGACACCATCAACTCTCACTCACTCACTCACTCAATCAATCACGGGCATTCACACACACTAATACACTAACACACTTTGTACACTTACACACACACCCTCTCACGCACTTGCACAGGCTGACTGGCAATCTTCTGCAGACGTCTGATGCGCGTCTGAAGACGGTGCTTGGGGGCGTTTCCCCGGAGGAGGCGTTTCAGCGCATCTCAAACGTTCGTCTCCACCGCTTTGTGTACAAAGACGGCGTTGTGGACCAAAACGCCGCCGCCCACGGCAACAGCAACAACGAGGTCAGTGGGTAGCATACTTTCGTGTATTGGTGGTGATGATAATGGATGTGAATGCGGCCAACCAAATCACTGCTTGGTGTGCACGTGTTCATTTCATAATGTGTGCCTGGTTGTTGGAACCACAGCTCTCTGTTATACTTCGTCGCACTCACCAGTGTGTGGTTTTGTGTTCAATATCAACCCTTGCATCCACACGCCTCTGCCGCAGGCACAAGAATCTGTGCCACGTTCGCACGTGGGCGTCCTCGCGCAAGAGATGCAAGACGTGTACCCTGAGGCGGTTCATGCAGGCGGGACAATGCGGCTGCAAGACAGCAGCACAACCACCGCCCCTGTTTCAGACGTTTTGTGTGTTGACACGAGCGCTCTCCTCTACGACGCCGTCGGCGCTGTGCAGCACCTCGCCCAGCAATGCGTACGTTCATCATGTCTTGGTGTCACGTCGTGTAATGTTGTATCACCAAGTGGACTGCCGCTGTTGTTGCCACCAAACACCACTCATCACCAACAGCACCCATGCCACACCCACCATCACCGCAACCATGATTCACACAAGCCTCTTCCTCCTCCTCTTCCACTGCCTCTGCCACACCCGCTGCCATGTCGACGCTGACACTCTCGCATGCGCTGCACGCTTGCCACCACCGCCACCTCACCAATGCTCCCCCTTCCCCCGCTTAATACGTCTCAGGCTGAGCTGCGGGCAGAGTTGCACGAGCTGAAGGCGCAGCAGCACCTGCCACTGCTGTAGACGGCTTTCGGCAAGGCGACGGCTAGACAGTTGGAGATGCGCTGCCCGCCCTCCCGCCGTTTCCCGTGATCCGTGATCAGTCAATTCCCATTTCACTCCACTCCAACGCAACGCCAGCATTGTCGTCTTCTGAAGCCCGCACACCATCTTTATTCTTGCAGCCTTTCACCTGCACCGCATGCATCATGCTGACCAGCCGTTCCCTCGGGTTTAACGTATCCCGCATGCATTTCTTGCACTCGTTTTTTTGGCACTCTAACTGCCTCAATACGTATCCATACCTCTACCAGCGTCCCGTGTGTTGTATTTTGTATGTGCGTGTTACGTGTGTGTTGTACGGGTGTTGTGTGTCACTTTGTTTTGTTGATCTTGTTGATGTCCGCTTTGCATCACACGCTAGTGCTTTTGTCGCGATTCCTTTGACCGTGGGTTTCACTATGGCATATCTTCGTGTTGTACAAGCTTCCTTTTTTCCCCATCTGTGTGCTCTTGCCTCCCACTGCATGGTTCGCACACCTGAACTAGCGAGCACTTGGGCTGCTTCTGCACCCCACCACCTGGTTTGCGTTTCGATTGCTTTTGACGTTTTCCGCTTTCCCTTGCATGGGTGTGCTTGCGTGGGAGTCACCACCACGAGCACCATCACCTTGACTCCCCCCTCCTTCCGTTCCCACTTCCTCATCTCTATCTCCGACCATCGTACCGGAGGCATCCTGCTCGGCACGCCATACACCAGAGATTGCAGTCCTGGTCGTTGTGCCTTGCTCAGTCTCCCTGTCCTCCCTTCCTCCACGCTTTGCATGACGAGATGCCACCTGCAACACACCTGCCATGTATTGTCTTTGGGATTGCATGCATGCTCTCATTTTCCATTTCTCTCGGCTTCGGTGAGGCCAAGTTTCAGCTTTTGTGTGTGTGTGTGTGTGTGTGTGAGTATGTGTGTGTGTGTGTGTGTGTGTGTGTATGTGTGTGTGTGTGTGTGTGTGTGTGTGTGTGTGTGTGTGTGTGATTGACAATGTGACGGGTGTGTCGTTTGGGTCGTTTATTCCATGTGCAAGAGATTCTTCGACAGCCAGCGCTGGCAAGTAAATAACGCCCTCCCTCCCTCCCCTCACTGCCACGCTGGACAGATACAGACTCGCAATTGTCACAAACAGCAGAACAACACAAAGCAACACGTTCACTACACCTGGACAAACTCTCGCTTACACGACCCCAGCCCTTCTGCTGCCCCGTCGGCGTGTTGGAGGTTCAAGTGAACAGCACGCAGCGCACGCCGCAGCCCCAGCAACCCCAGCGCACCTCCGCGACTACTACTGTCGTTGCCACCACTACCACCACCGCTGCCACCGCCACGTGGCTGTTCTGACGCGGGTGATTGCGTCATGACCAGTGCTTGGATACCGCCTGCTTGAAGGTCTTCCTCCTGCTGCAGCGCCACAATGCTGGCGCACCATTCCCACCACGCGGGCAGGTGTGACACAAATGAAACGGCGGCCTCCAACTGCCCTGTGAACATGCACGATGCAAACAAAACATTAAGAGGCAGCCAGGTGGTGGAGTGAGCAGCAGGTGATTGTTGCTGCTGTTGCTGTTGTTGTTGCAGCACAAGGAAATAAACGTTCACGATTGCAAGTCCCTGAATTCCCACCACAGCTACCGCCACCGCAAATGCACACACACGCACTCGCGCGCACGCACACACGCACACACACACACACACACACACACACACACACACACACAACACACACACACACACACACACACACACACACACACAAATACACACACTCGCGCGCACACAGCGACAACAGCATCCAAACAACTTACGGTTGACGTCCTGGATGGCGATGACGAGGCGCTTCATATCCGCAGTTGAGCACGGCACCCGCGCATAGCTGCCGCGCGTGTCCGGTCGCGACTTACACGCCTCGACATGTGCTGCAAGCGATGCGTTCTCCACTAGCGCCCTGCGTAGCCGGTGCACGCTTGCTGTCAGCGCACGTAGCTCCCCAAGCGTCGCTTGCTCTGGTGTGTGGTCACATGCGTTGGTGGGGCAGGTGTACGAGTCAAAGCAAACTTTTGGTGATGGTAGCCATGGTGGCGGTATGTACACGCAAGCGAAAGTGTGTGCGTGTGTGCGTGTGCGTGTGTGTGTGTGTGTGTGTGTGTAGCATGCACACAAAACGAACGGGGTTTGTGCAGTACACGTGTTTTGCATTGTGCTGTCCAGCGCACAGCAGTTCTTTGAAGTGGGGACTCACCAATACGCACGTCCTGTGTAGCTGGCTGTTGTCTTGTGTGGTACTTGTGCAAGTCGTCTCCAAGCCGCTGCAACGCGCTCCCACGCTGTGCATGTGTGAGTGAGTGTGTGTGAGTGAGCTAGTGAGTGAGTCAGTGAGAGAGTGAGTGAGCTTGTGAGTGAGTGAGAGAGCTAGTGAGTGAGAGAGTGTGTGTATGTGTGTGTGTGTGTGTGGCTAGGAGGCTCGTTGTGAGGCATGAGCGGGTGGCAAACAGTAGTGTGCGCTCCATGCGCAGATGATATAGCGCCTGACCTGGAGGCCGACGCGTGACTGCCAATCAAATGCAGACGTCGTCAAGGGAAGTTTTACCAGGTACCGGTACAAGGTGGCCTTCGCCTTTGTCAAGTCATGGAACAGTAGCGCCTCGTGCTTTGAAAGCAGCCAGGCAAGCGCCAGCAACAGCTCCCTGTTGAGTACGTGACAACGTACTGTGCGTCATGAATCGCGCAGAAAGCGGATGCTCGCCATACAGCGCAACGAGCGAGGGGAATGCGCTGACACCAACGCAAATTGACTGACCGGCTGCTGACAAAGGATGGCCTTGTACGAAAGAAGGTGCAACGCCTATACCCTTGATCATACAGCCAGCCCATGACCACCAGCCTCCCTGCAGAACATTTTCGCAGCATGCATCACACGCACACAGGGATTTGCAGTGAGTGTTGTTCATTCGCCAAAAGCACACACACACACACACACACACCTACGCACAAAGTCGCACAAGCACGCATGGTTGGCTGACCGTCGTCAGAGATGGATTCCAAGTGCGGAGCAGGGGCGCCCTCCACTTGACACATGGCTGCATGTAAGCTCAGCCATAGCACAGCGGCCTGTTCAAAGATACAAAAGCAAGCGGTATGTCAACACGACTGCTTGCAAACACACACACGCACACGCACACACACATGCGCACACACACACGCACACACACACGCACACGCACACACACACGCACACGCACACGCACACGCACGCATGCACACACACGCACACACACGCACGCTGTCTGGGCGGTTGTACTTGGCTGCGCGCAGGTGCTCTGCGTGAATGTCGACGCCAAGCGATGCCTGCAGCCGTGCGCACACTTGCTTCACAGTTTGCCTCATCATCATCATCGCTGTTGGCAGTGGTCATATCCGATACAATTATATGCTGTCGGATATCCATTCATCACTGGCCGCCCTTCTCTTCTTCTTCTTGCGTGCAACAATCCAATATGGTTGGAGTGGTTGGACGCAGCGTGGTGCAAGCTGGCCAGCACGCCAAGGTCGTTGGCCCCTGTGTGAGCGCCCTGTGCCGTCGCTGGAAGTCAGACAAGGTGCCTGAGGACTGGGAGGTACTTGCCAACAAGGAGCTTCGTGGCAAGCCCGTTTCCTCCCTCACCTGGGAGACGCCAGAGGTTTGTTCGAGCTTGTTGCTTTGTTTCATGCTGGGGCATTGCGTGTGCTCGGGTTCTTGGTTGGTTGTCAAGCACAAAACAACACTTTTGTGTGTGTGTGTGTGTGTGTGTGTGTGTGTGTGTGTGTGTGTGTGTGTCGTGTCGTGTGTGTGT